AAGGCAGTAGAACCGTACGTGTTTGTGTTCGCGGTGGGACAAGGGGTGTTTGTTCCCTCTTCCTGGGCTTTGTCTCTGGCTCATGGACCCTCCACGAAGCTGAGAGGAGCAGGAGGAATGACTGTGGGCACTGTAGTTACAACTGAGATTGCTGTGGGGATTTGGGTTTTGTTTGCTTGCTAAGGACAAGCACAATTTGAATTTTTGTTCTCAGGAATTGAGATTTTTATTTATTTTTTTTCTTCTTCAGAGCTTCACACTCTGAATGCTTAAAAAGCCTGGAAATCACTTGTTTCAGTTCCTGCACTACAAAGGAACAGGGATTTTACCCATTTTACCCATTGCTTTACCCAGGAGTTCTTTGAGGAACTTCCAACTGATGCCACTTAACAACCTTGTGAGTGCTTTAACTGCCAACCTAAGTTTTTGGAGGAAGCTCTATGGAGCATTTAGAAAAGGGGATCAAAGAACAAGTGATGGAGACCTTGAGGGCACTTACCCTGCTGATAGACAGGAATCCCATCTGCCTCACAATGAAAATGTGCTTATGCAGAAAGTGTGTCAATAAAAGACTGAAGCACTGTCCAGGGAAGTCTTACATGCTTGTAGTTAAGTTGTTCTGGGAGGTGGTTAATACATATTTGAGAGGGCAGGTTAATACGTATTTAGGCAGAGAGAATTGGAGTTTGCTCTCCTATTTTCTGGGTGAGTAAAAACAACTGTTAAGCTACTGCATAGAAGTCCCTGATTCAGTATTTCTGGAGCAGCTGCAATTTGGTAATTTTGTTAAACTTCCTGTGAAAAAAAAAACCTACAAAGTACCTGTTTCTTGCTTGCAACCTTTGCAGAACAAGAATGGTATTCTTGTTTTCTGAAGATTTCTGTAGTGCTTTATACAGATCCAGTGAAGAACACAGAAAATTGGTTATCCAACTTTGCTGATGATCAGATCATCTTTTCCTTCTTGCAGATGTTTGTAGTCACACACTTAATGCTGAATGTGCTGTAGTCTGGCATAGGAAAGTCCTCTCTGACCCTGGCCAAGTTTGGTTCTTTGCCATAACTTGTTTATCATCTCACACTAAAGTCTTCTGAAGTCCAGACACTGTCTTCTTTATTGTGTACACACTGTCATAAAAGAAAAAAAAAAACCCACCCTACTTACAGTCCTATTTTCCTCATTCCTGAAACCTCCTAACCTGGTTGACTCGTTGGAGTGCATTTCACGCATTCTTTGCAGATAGGCTGAAGGAAACGCCTAGCTCACTCGCAGCTAGAGGCTAGAAAGCATTGGGGGGTTCCTGAGCGCCGCTCGTCTCCTCCTGCAGCCGCTGCGGGGGACACAGAGCCTGCCGGGGGAAGGATCCCAAACTGCGGGACACGGCATGACCATCCCGCCTCTGGAAAATCTTACTGGTGTGACACCACTCGTGACAGTGAGTTAAGGTAGGAGAATTCAAGGATCGTTTCGATGTGCGCTCACTGTCTTTCTCAAATGTTCCCTTGTTTGAAAGATACTTGATGGAGGAGAATGCCTGCATGTTAAATTACTGCTGTGTACTTGGGAAGAGGATTTTTTTTTACTATTGTACTTTATTTATTTTTAAAACTGATTTGGGCTGTGTAAAATAGAGAAGAACAGAGATCTCTGCCTGATGCTGCAGTGATGGGAAATTAATACTGCTAGCAAGGCTGGGGAATGTGAAAAGTATTGTGAAGTATTGTCACCTACCATGAGCGGGCAAGAGCTGCCTCTCTTAAGCCCATGTTGACCACCCATCCTGAAGGACAAATAACTTAGATATTTGCTTGCACTGTTTTCCATAATTAACACATTCTGATGGTAGTGTGATGTGAGCTGGGACGTCATCTCAGGCTCCGCTTCTACTACATTTAGACAACGGGTTTTGGCAGACACAAGTTGGAAGGATTTCTGCCTTTTTTTTGCACACTTCCTGCTGGCAGTCAGAAGAATGGGAAGTTCAGGTAATGAAGACCAGAGCGCTCCAAATCTGACTCCTGACTCTGGGGAATTTGATTCCTCATGCACATGTGATCACTGAGAGGACTGAGATGTAACTCAGTTAGGTTGTGTCCAGCCTCATTGTGACTAGTTGCTGGAAAGCACAAGAGGTTTCTAAGGGAAATGAGAAAAAACAAGTGAATAATCGTTCTTGCTCTTTTTTTAATTAAAAAAAAAAAAAGATTTTCTAGCATTGTAGCTCCTGTGGACACAATTCATACAAGCGTTAACAGCTGCTACACACCAATAAACTGTGCAGAAGGAGCTTACAATTAACATCAGGAGCAAGTTAAAGAATGTTAATAAAGTGGTAAAAGGTTTACAATGGCTGGTTTGCACTGCGGGAGGAAGAGGAAAGACAGACCTCTGTGCCCCAGCTAACGCTCTGCAAATTGCACATTGATGTGGCAGAGCAGTGTAGGAAGAGCTGGTTTGCTGCTTGCTGTTGAGATGGCCTGATGCAGTCCTTTCGCAGGCCATGGGGTCTCTTGCCAAGCTTTCACCGCTTGGGTTGGAATGTTTCACAGCAAGTGTTGGCTTCCAGCTGAGCAACCAGAAAGTTCCTTAACCTAAACAGCAGGGTGGTTTCTAAAACAAGACTGGGGAAAAAAACAGTGTCTCTTCCTGTGCTTGAAGTTCTTCCAGTTGATAGGCTGAGTTATCCTAGTCCCTGCTCCCTTCATGTGCCTTGGGAAAGTGTCTGTAAATCGGGGGAAGGTGTTTTTGGTTTAAGTCTTCTGTGTGTGGCAAAGTTTGGTCAGTTTTAAAGTTCTTAAAGATTGCCTTCTGAATCAGACAACTGTTATGGAGTAGTGTCTTGTGTTTCCTAACTGGTGACCAACCTGTATTTGTCCCATCCGTGCCACCGTGTTCAGGTGGACCAGAGGTTGGAGCGGGGAAATGGACACAAGAAGGGCAAAGCGACAGAAATCCTAAGACGGGGACTGAGGAACTCTTGAGTTGGAACATAAACTGGCACTTGATGACAGGGCTCTAGGGCTGGCTGAGCAAGAGATCATGAAGGAGGGGGAGAACTGAACAGAGAATATAAGGGAGGTAGAGCTAACAAGCAAAACTACATACGGAAGCAAATGATAAACATGGACGAGAAGTTTGTAGATGGAGGCTTGAGATTAAAAAGGAAGATGGATTGTGGCTGGATAATCTTAATCCTATTTCTTAATGTCTGAATGCTTGGCTTTGCAGCCTGAACAGTCTTTTCACACGTAAGAAACACCAAAGGACCATTTGGAGGCAGCCTTTGTAGATTCTTCAGAATACCCTTTGAGACACAGATCAGTGCAGTGTTTATTAGGAAGCTTCTGAGCATTAGGGGGTTTGTGATTAGAAAACAGATAAATGTATCTGAATAGGTTAAGCAATGCTAAGTATTACAGAGTTAGTTGGATGGAAACACAAATCTAGTGATTTATAAGGTTTTGCCTTATGAAACTGGTTATTGGCCCAAGGTTTCGTTTCCCAGTCTCCAAAAAATAACAACCTTCTTTTTTGCTACCAAGGTAAATCAATTATGCTATGCTATGCGATGAGCTGACAATGAGACTGGAAAACTGAATAGAAACAGCAGTTACTTCTCCCTGCATTCATAGCCCGAGCATTGCCAAATATGATTTTGATTAGAGCAGAACATGTGAGCTTGGGTTGTAGAACTAGCTCCCCTGCAGCCAGAAACTGCACGAATGCAAAAAAATGATGCTTCTCCAGGGCAAGTAGTGACATCCCTTGTCCTACTCTTACCATATCTGGCAGTAGAGATTTTTAAGACTCCTTTCTGGTCTCCTTAAAGTCTTCTGTTAACTTCCTGCAAAGTATTTCACAGTAATTCTTGCCTTAAATCCGTAACTTCTGACTGAACTACAGTGTATGTTTTAGCAGTCTTGCTACCAAAGTTTTAAGCAACCATCAGAAACACCAAGTTTTTAGGTAAGTTGTTTCAAATCAATAAGGTTTTTTGTTTGGTTGGTTGTTTTACTTGAATTTGCCATAATTTGTATTTCCAGTAATTTAATCTGAGTATCCTTTTCTAACAGGTGAAGCAACTAAGGCTCTCAGAAGTCTTTTCCTTGTGGAAGTTTGTGCTGACAGTGATAAAGGTACTTCACCTTATCTAAAGTTGTTATTATTTTAACTTCCAATTAATATTTCTTCATCTTTATTTTTTTCACTCTGTCTATGTGTTTTCTGAACAACGCAAAAACCAGAACTGGACAAAACATTTTGATAGATTCACCCTGAACTTCATCCAGGGCTGATGCCATCTCTGAATTATTTGTCCAAGAGCTTCAATTCTTTTAGCACAGTTCTGTCCTCAGGGCATATTTGTACCGGATCCTAAGCTCTAAGCTCAGGGTTATCAAGATGAGTGAAGGCAGAATGAGAAATGACAGCTGGTGAATAGATGTTCCCATTTTATATCTCGATGGAGCTGATGCTGTGGCATTGCCAGGTAACTCGTACCACGCTGGTATCCACCAAGGCCTCGGCATCTCTTTGAGCCATTCACTGCCTTGAAGACAAAATCTCCCGTACTAAAGCTGTGTATTGTACAGTTATATCAGATTTGGAGTTCAGCAGCAGGAGATTGAACGAGTTAAGGACTCAAATTTGTCTAATTGTGAATGAGTTAAGGACTCAAATTTGTCTGATCGGAGGAAGTAGACTCCCATCACAATTCTGAGAAATGCAATGCGTATTAAAGGAGAGGTTTCTCCTTTGGCTTTGTACTCAAAGTATTTTGTATTAGAAGTATACACTAAGGAAATCCATAAAGAAAAAGTGCATGGAAGAAGCAGAAACCCAGATAAAGAATCTGTTCTTGTTAGTAACAGTTCTTCTGGCGCTACCAGTTTCAGGGGGAAGATGGGCTCACCACTGACTGTGAACTTTAAGTTGAATAGTATTTCTTTGACTGATTTGTTGTTGTGGGGTTTTTGGCAGGTGCTGTTGGTTATTAAAAATGGAAGAAACCAGGAAGCTCTCTCCAAAGCTGTGTAAAAGCAAAGAACCGGTGAAAACAGAATGGGGGTCTCAGAGTGTTGTATTTACATATTTCCAAGGGGATATTAACAGCGTGGTAGATGAACATTTTTCTAGAGCTCTAAGCAACGCCAAGAACCCACAAGACCTGAGCACAAAGCACAAGGAGGAGACTGTTGTCCTGAAGAACGGTGAGCTGCTTTTGGTGCATGAGTGTGGTGTTAGACAGGGGTGACTGGCTTTCACTAAGGAATTTAAGATACAGCGTGCTTAAAATTGAAATTGCATGTAAACAGAAAGCAAGAAAATCATGCCTGAAAAGCACTGCATTATGTAGCTGAGACTTCCTGCGTAAACCACTGTGCTTTCTGAGATGCTTCCCCAGCTCTCCCTGGGCCTGTTGGCAGATCAGGTCCTCGTTTTTCGGCCAAGAACCTCCATCACTGTCAGATGCATTAAGTGTATTATGACCTGATTTGAAGTCTTTGCAAAAATATATTTGTCTAAGTTTGCAATAATTAAAACCATGCTTATGCTAGTGACCTGTAAGAAAACACATGTAATATTAGTTTGAAAGGATTGGTGGCAATGATTTAGCCTGCTTTTAGTATGAATCTGTTGTTGAATTTTAAGATAAGCAGTACTAAAGTGAGTATGTATTTCTTTAAAAATGAACGTGCAATCTGCTAGCATTCCCTTAGAAGTCCACTGGAACTTGCCTTGGAAAAAAAGTACGAATTGATGAGACTTCAGATGTTTCTTTCTCTTTTTAAGTAGATAGCATGTCTCCCCATCAGTGGAATTTCTCTTCACATTGCTCCAAACCATATGCGTCATCTTCTGCTACGAGCATGTCAAATTCTGGCCTGAACTTTGCTGCTGCTGGCATGGCAGGCCAATACCAGCCATCAGCTCTGCGGAGTCATTCAACTCAACCTGCAGATTTATGGCCCTTCCCTTCGATTGGGACTCCCAGTCTTACCAGTTCGGTATATCATCATGCCTTGCCTGACCCGCACGCGGTAGATGACCCCATCTCTGACAGGAAATACGGTTCTCTTCTTGGTCTTCTGCAACAGGAAAGGTGCTTGACATCCATGCAAGAATGTACCATGAAGCAACACTCAAGTTCTACTTGTATGACTGGACCTGCTAGGTTACAAAATATAAGTCAAGGTTCAGCTCCTGGGGGAGGTAAGGAAACACTGTCGCTTTATTCTTTGATGGTATCCTATGTAGAGAGGCAAAATAATACTGTTTTTTCCTAAGGTTCTCAAATTGGAGCCATCTTCAGCCTGGCTCACAGAAAACTTTTTCCAATAGTTAAACCATGCTGTGTGGTACTTGGGATTGATTAGCTGTATAGTAGCACTTAATCAAAAATATGCATTGCACACTTGCACAATATTTTACCTTCTGGCTTACATTAGGGAGATATTTTAAGTAAATATAAATATTATCCACAGGACTGTCAGGATCTCTACCTTATAGGTAGCAGGCAGGGTGGCACTGTGTGTACTGGATGACCAGAAAGGAGGTAAGAGCCCTGAGCAACCTCTCCTTACTGTGCAGGGTGCTGGTGGTATTCTGAGTATGGGATGTGAAACTGCAGCCCTTGCCTGAAAGGCCAGCGCTTTCTCTCCCTCCCCAGCCTGTCTGCAGCGGAAGGATTGCAAAGGCAGACCAGCCTTGCCTCGTTGTCACAGGTTAGGGCTGGGCCGGCGTCTAACACGGACAGACGCTCTCTAACCCCCTCTTCCTCCTCCAAATGGGAAGGAAAAGGGAATGAAGCAGAGAGACTTTCGGGTTAGAGAAGAAAAACAAACTAGAACAGCTTTAATGAAACAATAATAGAAATAATAATGGAATGATAAAAGTAAAGAACTATATACAGCTAAAGATAGTAGCCCGATATCAAACCCAACTCCCTCCCCTGATAGCAATCCCCACTGATGCTGCAGAGCAGGAGGCACTGGGGCAGCCCCAGGCTCAGCAGTGGCGGGAGCTGGATACAGGGAGCTGGATTCGGGACCTCAGGATCCAGATCAAAAGCAGGAGGTCAGATGGAGTCCTCTCTGGACACCAGTCATTGCAGAAAAGGGCGAAGAAGAAAAGGGAAAAGAGGGACGAAACTCTCGTGATCACTCAATTTATACTGAATATGACGTATACAGAATGGAATACTCTCGTTGGTCACCTGTCCTGTCTATTACCCCCCGGAGGTGCAACCTTTTACTTCCTTGTGACCCCTCTCACTACCCGGCACCCCCCAGCGTGGCACACAAGAGCCAGCAGTGGCCTTGGTCACTACAGGAATAAACATAAACAAGAGCCTTTCTGCATCCCAGTCCCAGGCAGTAACTGCAAACATCAGGTGTTATCACTGCCAGTAGCACACACTGTCTGCAAAAACATGCTGCTGACTTCAGAACGTGCAGCCTTTTAGAAGAGACTAAACTGAAAAGTAAAAATCACGAAATAGGACTGGGTTTTAGCTAAACCCAGGACACTTGTCCACCAGCGATTGCTGCCCTCCCTGAAGCGCTGCTGCCCTGCGTGTCAAAGGCTGCGATTGCTCTCTGCAGTGGATTTCCCAGAGCGACTGCAATTCACACAGAAGTGATGTTGCTCATTTATTATCAGCAATTAGTAGGAATCTCAATCCTAGGTACTACCAGCAGGCAGAAGAAAGATGGCTGGTGACTGAAATCCATTTCCCAGGAGCTTATGTCCCGAGAGCATCCAGGTCTGCTGGATAAAGCTGCTCCGTTGTTGCCTTTGAGAAGCTCTGTGAGACGAAGGTCTCTGGCCAGAGCCCTGGTGCCCAGGGCACGGCTGCGTTGCTGTTCCTGGGCGTTACCCAGAGAGTCTGCTTGGCACTGGTCTCCAAGAAAAAGGATTGTGAAATTGTTTAGGGAGTCTGCTGGAAAAATACAGCGTGTCCTACCTAGATAAAAAGGAACAGACATGTGAAGAAGCAATTCCGAGTCGTAACGTTTTGAAAAATAACCAGCTGTGAAATGCCTAATGGTTACCCAGTTTCTAATCTACATCAGGCAGGAACTGGGCAGAACGTGGGCTAAAGTTACCCTTTATATCTACAGGCAGTCTTATCCACAGTTCCTCTTCTGAAGCTGTGTTGTTATGAGAACCCCAGCTGTAGGTGTGTTGCTAATTTATTCCTGCTAGTGTGTCTAATGCCTGGCTGTGTCTGGGTGGAAAAGGGAGAGGGATTTATGTCTTCAGCTGGAATATAAATTTTCTGCTCATGATACATGGATAGAGAGACTGAGCTGAGCCTGTACGTATGTGTTGCACAGGCACGCACCCTGGACTTCTGCAGCTAGTGAATGACAGGCTAATTACTTTCAAGACACTGTCTAGACTTCTGGGATTTAAGAACGAGGTTAGGTGCTCTTTTCCCCCAAGGGGGCAATGTGAGCCTGTCGAGGCTTGGGAGCCTGCAGAAAAGGAGATATTTCATGAAACCCGGCTTTGGATTGAAAAAGGGAAGCAGTGCTACCAACTCTGGACTTCTGTTCAAAATTTCAGG